GAAGCAGGCTCCCTGCAGGGAACCAAATGCATGATTCGATCCCAGGACCCCAGGATCACACCCTGAGCCAGAGGCAGATGCTCAACCATTGAGCCCCCAGGTGCTCCCCACTCTGAGCCCTTTAATGAAGGTACATGATTAATCTTACACGCACACAACACACACACACTCACACACACACACACACACTGGCAGTGCTGTAAGGGCATTTTGTAAATAGAACTAGAGCTTCTGATCCTCTTTCAGAAGTAGCAGGATCACCATTCTGTTCATTCCAATGAGTGAAAACAGTGAGAGAACCTTCATGCATAATCTGGATATCTGGATAATGTAGGACTAGACTTTTTCCACCTAGTGATGATAAATTGCACTGTTAGGGTAATAATCAGCTTGCAAACCCAACAGTTAGACAGTATGTATGGAGATTCAATAGATATGCTCTTTAAAAATCTTACTTCAAGTGCACCTGGGTAGCTCAGGTCATGATCTCAGAGTCCTGGAATCAAGCCCCACATTGGGCTCCATGCTCAGTGGGGAGTCTGCTTCTCCCTCTCCCTCTGCTTCATCCCCCTGTTCAGGCTCTCTCTCTCTCTGCCCCTTTCTATTTCAAATGAATAAATAAAATCTTAAAAAAAAAAAAAACCTTCAATCACTCTCCTATAAATTTTTTTTTACTCTCCTATAAATTGAATCTCATTCTAAATGCATCAAAAGGCTGTTTAAGAAAATGTCATGTTGAAATTTTTGACAAAGCAAATAATCCCACTCTTGTATCTGTTATGGAAGTTTTCTATACTGGGTGTTCCTAAACCACAGTGTACCTGGGGTACTTCCCCTATAAGGCAGCTTCTCTGCAGGAGGGCGTCCATATCACAATGACAACAGTAATGTTAAAATTCTTTACATCACTCTTTATTTCAAAAGTGCTTTACTAACATAGACTAATCTTCACAACATTTAAGGGAGGTAGATAAGTATTACACCACTTTCACGGATGGAGAAACAGAGGCAAAGATGAGTAAATTGTGTTGAAGGGCATAATATATGGCACGATTAGGAAAAGAATATGTTGCTGTCACGGATCACTGGTGATCTTTCCCATGACTTCTGAGTCCCACCAACACCAAGGTGGCAGATGCAGCACGGAAGCAGGTTGTCTACGGTTTGGCTAGTCTAAGGCTACGCTTCACCTCGATACCAGATGTTGTTGAATGTGCTGCCCTTTCCCTCACACACACACTCTCACCTGACTCCACCTCTAAAATAGGGGAGAGTGGGAGCTGTTGTGGGTGCAGAAGGAGGGGCTGGAGGAGCAGGGCTGGGAAGGCAGAAGATAGAAAATATGAACTCATATCAAAGCAAGGGCGAGGAGGAACAGGAGGACCAGTTGGAAGCAGCCCAACAAAGAGGAAAGCCACGGCAGCAAAGAGTGTCACTTCATTTGAAAAGCTCAGACATCCAGAAATGCTATTAAAAGGGTAATTCTTAGCAATGACATTACGGAACCGCTCCTTGTGGCTTTGCCAAATATAATTATCAGGTCCTTCTGACATTCCCAGAAGGCAGAGCCATTTCTTTCCCCTGCTCCAGACCAAGTGCTGATGTAATTGACCTGACACTGCAGAAGCTGTTGACAACTCAAACGCACTCTGCCACCATGCCACCTCTCTTCCTTTATTCTTTCCTCTTTAAAAAAAAAAAAAAAAGCCAATGCATTTTAAGATTCTCTGCAAAATTCATAAAACATTCCCTAAAATTTTGATGCTTAAGAGGGCAGGTTTCCATGTTTGACTTTTGTAAAGGGGCCGTGATAGGCCTACATGGGGATTACCAGCCCCTCCGCCAATGCCCTTTTACACAACATGGCACGCTAAAGAATCTTTTCTGAACTTTCTATCAGAAAACCGTGATAAGAGATGGTGACATGCACTGCTAGCTGCACTGGAGGTACTGGGGGGCAGAGGCAGCACAAAACAAGGGGGCTGACAAAGACCCAAAGAGGGGCTACTGTGTCTGACAGACAGGTAGAAGAGACAAAAGCCAGAGTGAAGATGGGACAATCAAAGCAGAGATGGGTGCAGGTGCTCGTGTTTGAGGCTGAGTGGCAGGCAACAGCATTAGTTCATCTCTCGACCTCTCCTGCATTGAGTCAGAGCCAGAAATGCATTCTTTCTACTTTCATTTCAATTGGCAGGATTATTCTTTCAGGCATCTAGCTAGCTCTAACACCTCACCCCTCCTCTCCAACAAAAGCAATCCACCGCCAAACCTGACTGCGTCCCCCTCTGCAGTGCTCTTGACATTGGTCTCCCCCAGTCTGACTAGAGCCTCCTCTAGATCCTTTTATCATCTCGTCCTAACCAGTGCCAGACCCTCCTACCTCATCTCCCAGACTCATCTTCTCTACACTCAGTTTCACCTTCTCTTCTTTCTCCTGGCTCACAGTTTTGATCATGCTACTGCCCAATTTGGAAATCCACCATGTTCTCACTGCCTCCCAATCATGTGTCTCATCCTCTTGAATCTTCAACAGGACCTTGCATCCAGCAAAGGTTCTCCTCTTTCTGAATCTCTACCTGTCCAAATGCCAACTCTAAAGACTTAGCTCAGATGCCACCTCCTCCAGAAGGCTTCCTTCCTCCTGGAGGAGGTGGTTATTTGCTCTGAGCTACAAATGCACTTGAAGATATGCACTAATGGAGTACATGACAGCTGTGTACAAGTCTTCCCTCCCTTACTGGGCTGTGTCTGTGATCTGGCTGGGGCGATGGTGAACTGTCTTAAATTTTGTCTGTTCCCTACAACATCTATCAAGAAATGCTTTTGCATTTCCACCTCAGTTAGGGAACTACTCAACGGTGAAATGAACATATACCTGTCCATGAATGGAGACACCAAAGTACACCATAGGCATGATCTGGCTTTCAGGATAAAACAAATCTCTGATATAACCTGGAGGGATGGGGCAGGGGCAGGCAGGTGGGACTATTTGTTTTCTAATCAAGAGGCTGGGAACTGAGCTTCTGCTTTGCCATTTATTAGCTACTGGTCTGGTACCAGATGGTTCTTCTCTGAGCATCATTTTCTTACTTCTGCAGGACCTCACAGGATTAAGGATCAAATGAGACATATCTGTGAGCTCTACTCCATTGGTTCTCAATCCCAGTGACGTATTATAATCTCCATTAAAGTTTTCAAAAAATGTAGAGGACCAGGCCCCAACCCAGGTCAACTGAATTAGAATCGTTTGAGAATGGAACCAGGTGAGACTAATTATTTATAAAATACTATTTCTAATGCATAGCCCAAGTGGAAAACTGTTAAAAACTCATAAATATCATTAACAGTAGAGCAAGTTGCTTTAGGCTGCTGGTTTCATTATCCTTTGTTTGGTTAGGAATTAGTTCCATGTTTTTATAGTTTCATTATGTGTGAGCATTTTTTTGTGTTGTGTTCTGCAATGGTTGTTTGTGTGCTTAAGTGATAAATTCTGAGAGAGGATAATATCCAGCACAAAGCTGCACACAAAGTGTACCTAACCCAATCTGGGTAGGGGGTGGGAAATAAGTAAAATCTTCTTGGAGTCCTCTGAAACCTTACTACACAGAAGTGTGATGATCAGACAGGCAGAACTGGCATAACCTGGGAGTTTGTAAGAAATGCAAAATCTCAGGTCCCACTCCAGAAGCTGCATATTAACAAGATTTCCAGATGGATCAGTAGGTGAAACAAAGTGACACTTCTCTCAGTTGACATCCATGTTGAGGGCCTGCTGTTCCCTGCCCTAATCCTGAGGGGGTGAGAGGGCATGGAGAGTCAAGTCCTGTCTCCCATAAACCATTTAAGCTTGGGACTTTATCCAGATGTGTCTTATCTGAAGAGTCCATTGGGTAAAAACGAAATGAAGAACACAAATTCTTCCAAAAGGATCCTTCCTTTCAAAGACTAGTCTTCACAGCTTTCCTTCAAATAACTAGTTCCTTATATTAAGAGATCAGGGTAGAGAATAAACTGATATCCATTCAAGTTTTATGCAGTGCATCACTAACAAGTGTCTGTTTATCTTATTGAACTTATAGCTCCCAGGACCCAAATCCCAAAATTATGAAGGCAGGAAGCTGAGCCAATGCAAGTCGTCAATTACTGCCTGTTGACCCATGCCCTCTGGACAACCATGATGTTGGCAGTACCCATCCAAGACTCTACAGACTATTATAGTCGAGGAGTTGTAGCAGATTCTGAACATTAGCTAGACCAACTTCCTTGCTGTATGAACAGGAAAGACCAGAGCCTGGATTAAAAGGAGTTACACTAAGTCACATGGTACTTTGAGGCAGGGCCACGATCAGAATTCAGGCCCTGAGTCCTAGCCTTACACTCCCTACATAGCCTCTGCCACACATTCTTTTCTTTCCCCATCACATGGCCTTGATATTTCACACTCAGAAATTGCTGACCTGCCTTGGCACGTAAGTGTCACTTTGACTGTTCCAGCTACTGCTGTGTCCAACATCCCAGAAATGTTTTCAACACTAGGCTACAGGAGAAGTTATATCACAACCCAATCCAAATATCCATTTGCCAATCCATATTTCCAAATATGTTGGTAATGGGTTCTTAAAAAGCCCAATGCTACCCGTGCAATGCAAACTACAAAGCATTACTATCAGCTAGCACCATGAGCACAGTGACCAAAGGGCCTTTCCCTAGGTGGCTAGAGATTAAAAACAGGGCTCCCATGAACTCAGTAGCACAAAGTTGGGAGGACACTACAGAAGAAAAGCAAAGACGAGCACAGTGGGGGGGAGGCAGCACCTTTAAAAAACATACACAGTGTGACTATAAAATTGCAAGTCTTATCTTTTAATAAAACAGACAAGACAGATTGTAGAAATCTAAATGAACGTTTCTCCCTCAAAGCAGTTACATCCTTAGTTCCAACAAAACTATCATGGTTGGAGCTGCTATTTGGAACTCCTCTTTGGGGGAAAGGCCTTAAAAGGCAGTTTATGAGCCACATTAGAAAATATCCTTCCAAATGCTGGACTGTTTAAAATCAGAAAAGCCACTCAAAAAACAAAAAACGACACTGATAAGAAAACAAAACAAAACAAAACAAAAAAACAATGAGAGAGGTGTTGTGTGCGGCTCTCAGGGAGGTTCCCTAACGACTTCCCTCAAGTTCTGAGCAACAGCACCACCACTGCAAAAACAATGTGTGGCCTCCTGGGTCTTTGTGCTGCTTTCAATAGGAGCGCGTTCATTTGGATAGAAAAGTTCTGCTGTCTATTTAAAAAAAAAAAAAATCAGCCACACTTCTTTATAGTCACACTTGCGATCTGATTTAAAAAAATACAACAACAACACTCGCACATGGTTCTTGTATGAATTCTAATTAAGAGACATTACATTCAGAATTATAGCACTCGTAGTGATCATCTTCAGGAGACTGGAACAGCTTCTTTGCCACTGAAGGGGTACACAGGGTGCGGCTGGCTGTTTACCTGAATGTACTCTTAAATACGCGACTACTACCGCTCTAAGTTTCCTAGTTGTAGCTCTGTTACAAGTTCCTGACCGCAAGTTCACGTTCCAGGCTTTCTTTGCCCACATGGGCTGGTTACAAGGGATCCGACCCCCGCAGTCTTAGGGTGAATTGGGAAAGGGCTGGTTAAATGAGGAGACAGGCCACTCCTTGGTAAAAGTTTGTAGCTTTCTTTCCCAATACATCTTCTTTTTATTGAGAACTTCCATTTTTATCCTGTGCTCCTCCTCTGCCATCTCACACTCCCGCTCTATCTGCTGGATTTTGGCCACATGCACCTCGTTCATTTGTATCAGCTGCAGCTGTAAGACGGACATTTGTTGATGGTGTTCTTCCTCATGCATCTTTTTTAAAGCACGTTCCTGAGAGGTTTTGCTCCTGTAGTGTTTATTGGCTGTGATTCTGACAGCTGAACATGAGGGTTCAGGTTGAGAGGTCTCTTCACACACTGGAAAATGTATGAACTCTTTCTCATCATCGCACAGTTCTCTATTTGAAACAGCAAATGATTCTGAAAAACAGTAGCAGAAAACATATACATTCAAAGATTTTACAGGCAAAGAGTAAATTAATCCTATTTCAAATGACAGGTCCCCCGTCACAGGATGTAGCGGAAACAGCGTCTGCATGAGCCTGCGTGTCTATGGGTACCCTTGCCATGCCTGACTTTTGAAAAACCCACAAGTCAAAACCAGCGTTCCCTTCAGAAGTAATGATAAAGAGTTTTGTCATGTCACTTATAGAACTGTGAACTATGGGAACAGTGGCTCAAGACTATGCTGATCCAGAAGTGGAGACCCTGTTATGTTGATCTAAGTTCTAAAGGAGAATGTGCACAACTCTGAGGGAGCAGAAGGCCACGGCACGAGGCCAACAGTGGGTTTTCAGATTAAGTTCTCCCTCCATCTGATCTCCCCATCTCGGGCTCTCATCCAACCGTGAACACTTATTACATTCGATTTCCACAACGGTGCCACTGCTCCTTTTCCTGGTCATGGGTCTTACCCCTGGAGAGCCACCTCACGGATGTTCCTTGAAAGGCGAGTCTACATTCCCCGGCCTAACATCCTAGCACATCATTTCTCTGCAATCTCTAACATTTGGCTGTTACCTCTAGCACTGCCATCTGCGGGGCAACATCCAGATCTCAAAGATACTTTTCAGTGCCCCTCTTATGTAACCTCTCCCTAGCACTTAACAATCCTTGAAATGTCTTCCTTAGCTTCTGCACCATGGCTCTCTGATCAGTTTTCGACACTTCCTCTCTGATTGCTCCTTCTCAAGCCTCTTGCTGCATCTACTCTTCACCTTTAATATCCCCCTGGGGTTCCCATATTTGGCTCTGTTTTCATTGTTCTGGGCTTCCTTTATTCAAAAATACCCTGGGCGCCCTGCAATCCTACTACAGGCTTCATATTCTTTAAAAGCCAAGCTCTTTTTCACAATTCTGCCTCTGTTCCTTCAGCTGAGCTGAAAGCTGGGCTAATTATTCATCTCTCCCCTCTCTCCCCCAACCCGGGGCCCTGTGCTCCTTTAAACCTGCATTTACTCCAGACTCTCCCTTTTAACCTCTCCCCAACCCCTACTTTGTCCAGCACCTGTGAAACCCCAGATCTCTCCTTTCTCTATGAGTACTCTACTGTTAAGGCACTTACCACATCCTAGTATTACTGTGGGACCATGCTTATTCATTTCTTTTATCCTTGGGTACCAATTATTTTGCTTGGTACACAGAGGATGCCTAGTAAATATTTATTGGCTGAAGCTCTGAACACAAAGGGAGAAGAGCTTATGGATACAAAAGGCTGCCATTTTAGCTGGTGCCACATTTGCACTAGTAGTTTTATAGGGCAATGACATTTTATCAATTAAGGAGTTTCAATAAGGAAGACAATAACTCCACTAACCTATGGAGTTTTCCAGCTGTGACTCCAAGGCTTTCTTGGGATGCTTTATGTTTCCAATAATGAGAATTGTCTCCTTGGAGAAAAATAATATCAATTTATTAACAGAGTTGATTATGTTATAAGTCCACTCCATTATTCCAGAAGATGGGATGCCGGGAATGTTAACGGCTGCTGGGGGAAACCTAACTCGTAATACTCTGTTAATAAAAGGGAAATGGCTTCTGTTTGGTTTATTTTACTCCAAGGGGTTATGCAACTACCATAACTGGTCCCTAATTAAGATGAAAGGAAAGGTAGATGTCTCGCTTCTGAAGGAGAAGGTTAAAAGTACTTCTGTGTCATCCAGAGATAGTGAAGATGTCTCCCTAGGAATCTTTCCCAACTCCGAGGGCTATGGCTTTAATTAGATGGCCTGCCTTCATATTCTTGCTGCCTCCTGAGCCTACCTCTGGCACGGCACTTGTTAAAACTGGTGGCTTAACTATGTCCCCCTCAGGTCTCTGCCTACTGTGAAGACAGAAACTGTCTATTGTTCGTCCTCGAGGAGAACCCACTATGGCCTGGACACTGCCTGCCATGTCCAAAAGGTATGGGAATGAACTGGTTGCAGGGGGTCACATCTCTCTCAACTCAGCACAACGGGGTAGACAGGACCGTGTTCTGAGTGGAGAGCCAAGGCACAGGACGAGGGAATGGGAAAGGCTTTGCCCCCGAGAATAGGGTCCCTCAGATATGAACAACTGTAAAGAGGATTACCTCACCTGCTTCCCATCTACTATGAGATCTGAAAGTGTCTTCTTTGAAGGCTGGACACAGAGACATTTTTCGGGACCTCTAGCCTCTTCTTTTCTTTGATTCCATTCCAGAGGGTAGTTCTGCACAATCCTCTAAGTCTTTAACGTTCATGCCCTCACGATGCTGCTCATCTCTCCCCATTTCTAAATTTTTATCTCAACTATTCCAGGCTTTAGGGGCCTGATGATGATGATGATGATGATGATGATGAAGGCAGCTACCATTTTCTGAGTAGCTAACCAGGCACAAGGCTAGTGCTTTGCAGCATCACCTCACTTAATTGTTACAACAATCTTCTGAGGGAGGTATTACAGGAAACCAAACACGGGGCAGCCCAGGTGGCTCGGCGGTTTAGTGCCGCCTTCAACCCAGGGTGTGATCCTGGAGACCTGGCATTGAGTCCCACATCGGGCTCCCTGCATGGAGCCTGCTTCTCCCTCTGCCTGTGTCTCTGCCTCTCTCTCTTTCTGTGTGTCTCTCATGAATATATAAATAAAATCTTAAAAAAAAAAAAAGAAAAAGAAAACCAAACACAATATCCAAAGTCATTTGGCTAATTGAAAGAACCAGGACTCTAATCCAGGTTTGTGTGACTCCAAAATCCAAGCTCGACTACTACAACACCCAGCTTCTTCCTGCCTCACTTGCTCAGCTGATCACTCATGCATCTTAAAAATGCTGCCTCCACGTTGTATTTACTACAAAATGCTCTATTATTAAGAATATGAGCACACAGTTAAAATGTTGATCTCCAAATTTGTCTCTATAGAACTGTGAACACGAAGACCAGTATGGTCATGTCTGGGAGCAGAGAAAGGACTCTACTTTTAACTGTCCTTTTTTAGTTTAAATGTGTGCTAACGTATAAATTTTAAAGAAAAAACAATTCAGGCCTCTTAAGAAAACTCTGGCAGAAGGTGAAGCTTAAAACTAGAAGAGCCTGATGGAGTAGTTAATTAACTTTCACACAAATATTAGCTCCAATGAATGGAAGCTAGTGTTCAGATGGGGAGAATCTTCTCTTAATTGGAAAAAGGCTATCCTGGGAATGGCAACCTGCTGCAAACACACACCATGCAATCTCTCTCCCAGGTAAAACAAAGTCACCCGAAGTAGAAAACAACTCAATCTTGTGCAAAATGGATAGGAAGACCTGGCTGAGTCAGGTTAAGCATCTGACTCTTGATTTTAGTTCAGATTTTGCACATTTAAAATACATGCATACAAAATGCCTGCTGTCAAGGACATGTGAGAGAATACACAAGCACATTGGAATGATTAGAAGGCAGAAGAAAAGAATGAACGTGGTTAATGGTGATAATAACAAGGGAATAAATGCATAAATAACACAAAAAAGGGGGGCTTTACACAGACCAATGATGTTAATGTGCCATGACTAGAACTATAACTCAGTCCCTGTACTAGAGTTCCCATCCCCAAAAGAAGAGGATTAGATTAAAAAGTGATTAATCATGGAATTTACTAATAAATGTTTGCATTATTTAATTATAGCTTTGTGTACCTATGTTTGCATTATTCACTTATAGCTTTATAATAGAAGAATAATAGCTATTATATAACAGCATATGAAACTAAATATCAGTTTTCTTAAGATAGTTGAGTACTACTTGAAAGCTTAGTTGGTTTTTTTTTTTTGAAAGCTTAGTTTTCTTAAATGTATTTGACATTTGGTCATCCTATTCTCCTTTCTACCTCTAGCACATTTTGTTGGCTCCCTTAGTTTGTTCTGCAAACCTGTTCCCCCACGATAACAAGAGATATGTATCACAGTCAAATGATCACATATTATAAATCTATAGGGTACAAATTGTTTCAATATATTTAAGGGGGAAAATGCTGGGGTTTTTTGCAAATACATTCCTTACAGTTAAAATTTAAGACTACCATGTTCAAATACAGATGCACATCTCAAGTAAGTCATGGACAAAGCTAAGAATATCCAGGGGATGGTGATCAAAATGACACAGCCGAAACCATCTCACACAAGAAACAGTTGGAGGGAGGCCTCTAGTGGAATACTGCCAGGCTCCATCCTGTTCAACAAATTTCAACAAATCTCTAATCATCTAATTCTGTAACAGGCACTACTCTGTAAGGTGTGAGAACAGCACTGTCCCATAGAACTATAATACGAGCTGCTTGTGTAATTTAAAATTTTCTCATAGCCACCTAAAAAAAGTAAAAGGAGGTGAAATTAATTTTAATAATATATTTTTATCCAATATAAAATATTATCATTTCAACGTGTAATCAAAATAAAAATTATGAGTAAGATTTTCTACATTCTGTTCTTGGTATTAAGTCTTGATGATACAGTGTATATGCAAGAGCATATCTCAATTCAGCCTACCCACATTTCAAGTGTTTACTAGCCTCTTGGGGCTACTGTACTAGATAGCATAGAGTTAGAGACTACATTAAAAAAAAAAGAGAGAGAGACTACAGTAAAACACACATACACACACACACACACACACACACACAATCTATGTGTCAAACAAAATACACACCACAAAATGAAAGCCATATCCTAATGCAAGTTTTCAACTTTTTCCCCACCAAGCCCCAGAAGGGATAAATGACAATTATAGCTTTCTTCTTCTTTCTTGAAAATAAGTTGAAATACAAAATGAGGTAACCTCAAGGCTGTTTTAATGGATAAAGAGAATTCCAGTACCTTATCTACTAGTGTTAACACATTACTTTGGACACACTTCCCAACTGACAAAGCACCACGGTTCTCCACTGACCTCCAGATGTGACCTAGAAACAGGAATAGTCAGCATAGGCTGTACTTTGATCGTCACCAGCAAAAAGAGAAGTCTCCCATGTCATATAGGTACAAACATTCAATTTAAAATCAATCTTTTTTACAAGTGTGAATCCCTAGAAATGTCACTACAGAAGGACACTGAGAATCCATATTTGTTCCCTTCTCACTGGTAATGTATAAATTGTGTTTATGAGTAAATGAATGACATCATTTCCTCTGCAAAGAAAGAAAAAAGTTTTTGGAATGAACTTTCCAGATCCTACTCTAGAATTTGAAAGTGGGGAAATACGACTGTCCCCTTAGAATAACCCTATGAGTCAATACACAATAATTAAGATCAAAGATTTGCAACATTAAGTGAAAGCAGTCTATACCAGCATCCTCTTCAGCAACATCTCTCAAGGAACTAAGCAATTTGAAAAGCAGCCGGGCTGATTCACCTGCCTCCCTCCCTCAGCACCACTCCCTTCACTGCCTGCGGAGAGTGAATGGCTCTGAGGCCAGGAGACAGACACTGTCAATTAGCAGTGCATTCCATCCACAATAAATGCTAACAAGGAGGGGTAAGAGAGAAAGTTGGCAGTGTCCACCCAAACACTATCTGCTGGGGGATACCCTGGCTTGGGAACTCAAGAATCAAAACTCATACAGGGTTTCTGCACTGGAAAACAATATGTGATGTTCATGACACTATGGCTGTCCAAATGGCTCCCTGGACTTAATCTTGGTCAAATGATCAGCAAACAAATTTTTAATTATCCCCAGGATGATCTGCCTATAGTGGGAAAAAATGTGCTAATTGAAAACATGTATTCAGTTCACTTGGTTACCATCTTTTTCACTCCACATGGAAAATAGTTTTAGACAGTTTCTTGTGACTTATAATTAACCACTCCCTCAGAACTCAGTCTAGTCTGGGAACGCTAATAAGTGAATTTCTCATCCTGCAAGCCAAAGATCATAGTTTTCCTAGGCCAGCGCTTGCTGGGTCCTGGGAGCAGCCCTCTGGCCTCCCTAGAAATATTTCTCTGCTTTACAGTGTGTCTTCTGCAAACTTTAAATAAAATCTTAAATAAAATCTTTAAGAATAAATAAATAAATAAAATTCCGACTCTTGATTTTGGCTCAGGTCATAATCTCAGGGTTCTGGGATCCTAGGGAAGGAGAGGCCTGCTCAGCACAGTCTCCTTCCCCTCTCCCTCTGCTTGTGTGTGCTCTCTGTCAAATAAATAAATAAAATCTTAAAAAAAAATAAGATTGAATAACTATAAATTCTCAAATAATTTTTCTTTAATATGGATGACGTAGGCTGAGATAAACAACTGAGGTACTTTATTAATAGCTGTATTAATAGAGCCCCTTATTTTTCCTTATTCTTCATAATAAAGATGAGAGAGACCCTAGAACAAGGATATCAACAGGTCCTCTTGTTTTGTTTTGTTAATATTTTATTTATTTATTCATGAGAGACACACAGAGAGAGAGAGAGAGAGAGAGAGAGGCAGAGACACAAGCAGGGGGAGAAGCAGGCTCCATGCAGGGAGCCCAACGCTGGACTTCATCCCAGGTCCCCAGGATCACACCCTGTGCCAAAGGCAGGGTGAGCCACCCCAGGGATCCTGGTCCTCTTGTTTTTATGTTCTATGCAATCTGGAGATTTCGAATTGGGAAAATCAAGTTTGACATGAAAAGTTTATCTTTAACAAACTCCCTAAAATTAAAGATCTTAAAACTAAAACATCAAGCAGGCACCCAGAGAGACCACGCCTGCTGGAAGCCATACCTTGGGCTGCGTTGTCCGGGTGGTACTCGGGCTCCTCTTCTGGAGGGCTCTCCAGGAAGTAGAGCTGCTCCGGCAGCATGCTGGCGATCTTCTCCTTCCCCAGGACGTGCGTGCTCAGGAGAGGGCTGACGCTCCGTTTCACATTCTCTCTCCTCTCATGGGCCATAATCTTTTTGGTCCGAGCCTTGAGGTTCTCCCAGCACTTCTTCAGCTGTTTGAAATCCCGCAGTGACACGCTTGGCTGAGAGTTGTATTCGTGGGCAAGCGCCTGCCAGGTACGCTGCTTGAGTGCAATAGTTCGCGCATCACTTTTCTTACATTCCAGCACATATTTGTACTTTTCTACCAAAGCAAGTAGGATGCTCTTTTCCAACTCCGAGAAGTATTTGGCAGGTTTTATAATTTCGTTGTTTTGCATTTTCCACTATATTTCTTCTGGCTGTTAGCTATCCTGTAAAAGGAAGTTTGAAACAATAATTACTAACTCCAGCAATGAAAATGTCTGCAAGCCACTTAAGCTGAATCCCGGGCTTGATCCCGTTGCCTGAGATACAGTACTTTCTCTCCCATTAATAGTGAATTAGGATAGTCTCAGGAAAACATTCAGAAGGTCACTAGGAGTGGGGCTTTACTTCAAAGAAGGTTTTCAAGTAGGTCCTTAATTGAGGGTCTTGGCCATTCTGTGATATCTTGTCTGTAACAGCAAAAAAAGAAAAGTGAACATCTAGGGGTACTCTTAATTTGTTCATTTATTTCTGCTCAGTGTGGGGGAACTGATCACTCCCCCACCTTCATAATGTTAGGCAGCTTTTCAACTAAACAACTTTCTCAAAGTTTTGTAACAGCTGAAGTCAAGAAAAGCCACAGTGTAACCAAATAGAATGGGTAACATAAACACTGAGATTTCGGAATCATCAGGAAATCACCCCAAAAGACTCGACATTTCCATCACTATGTCTGTGATCTTGGATAGGGGCATGCTCCTAAAGAAACCGCAGTTTCTTCATCTTTAAAATGAGGGCTTGGAGTCTGTGATCTCTTAAGGTCTGAGGGTCACTTTTAAGTGTACAGTCTGATATAAATAATTCATATAATTTCAGAGGTGAAAGAGCCAACAGCCCTTTTTTCAATTGAGGGAACCAAGGGCCAGCAAGTAGATTGCTCAAAATCACAAAGATGGTGCCTTTGGAAATCAAGAACCTGGACTGTCCTAATAATCTGGCATTCTTTTTTTTTTAACACACCAAATATTCATTTTTATTATGGATATTCCTTTAAAGTCTTTGTTCAGATATTATAATAACTTATCAATTGTATATTATTTATAATTTATGAAATACTTTATATCTCTATTATCTTTTAAGAATAAGTCTACATATCTTTTTATACATTTAGTTTAAAAATATATATTAAGGGCCCCTGGGTGGCTCACACAGTTGAGCGTCCAACTCTTGATTTCCACTCAGGCCGTGATCTCAGCATCATGAGATCAGGCCCCAAGTTGGATTTCCCGCTCAGTGGGGAGTCTGCTTGGGATTCTCTCTCCCTTTCCCTCTGCCCACCCCCTCTCTGAAATAAATAAATAAATCTTAAAAAAAGAAAACTATATATTTAATACATATTAATTTGATAGCTATATACATAATGAAATGATTACTACAGTCAAGCTAATTAACATATCATCTCCTCACATAGTTACCTTTTTTCTTTTTTAAGCAATCTCTATACCCCACATGGGGCTTGAATTTACAACCCCAAGATCAAAAGTCGCATGCTCTACTGACAACAAGCCAAGCAGGCGGCCCAACAGTTACCATCTTTGTGTGTGCCCTAAGAGCACCTGGAACCTACTATCTCAGCATATCTCCAGTATTTAATACAGTATTACATAGACTTGTTCATTCCACATACCTGCAACTTTGTACCTTTTGTTGATTCTCATTTCCCCCACCCCTAACCTCAGTCCTGGTAACTTGTGTTCTATAATCTACTGCTAGGAGTTAAATAGTCTAGTATTTTTTTTATTTTTTTTATTATTTATTTACAATAGTCAGAGAGAGAGAGAGAGAGAGAGAGAGAGAGAGAGGCAGAGACACAGGCTCCAAGCACTGGGAGCCCGACGTGGGATTCGATCCCGGGTCTCCAGGATCGCGCCCTGAGCCAAAGGCAGGCGCCAAACCACTGCGCCACCCAGGGATCCCCTCTAGTATTTTTTTAAAAGAATTTATTTATTTGAGAGAGAAAGAGAGAGAGCACTCATGGGAAGAGAGAGGCAGAGGGAGAAGCCAACTCTCTGCTAAGCAGGGAGCCAAGACGGGACTCTATCTCAGGACCCTAAGATCATGACTCGAGCTAAAGGCAGACACTTAACCAACTGAGCCCACCCAGGCGCCCCAGTCTAGTATTCTTAGTATCATTTCACAACTATGTCTTGGGTTCTCACCTTGGGTGATTCCAAACTACAAGTAGCCATGACTCCCATAGGTCATCTTATCATCCTCCCCAGTACTGAACCACCATTCTTTCATGCAAAAGATGCTTAGTAAATGTCTTATTCCCCTGAACCTAGGTGTGTTTTGTCAACCCACACATTTGTGACATCTCTTCATCATAGGAAGTTTCCTACACAATTAATCACTCAAATATCTTAGAGCAAGAATGTCGCTAAGCAACACTGAATACAGCAATTGAGTGTTGCATGTTTCCCTCTGTGGGAAGGACCAACACACCTCAGTCTTTATATTTTCCAAGCCTCTGATTTTTTGGAATAACAGGCAAGCATCAAGATTCTTGATGATGCAGTCATCAGATGATAATGTAGTCCATTTAAAACTGATCAAAAGAATTAGGAACCAACTTGAAAGGAATGAAACATCTGAAAATCAACAAAGGTGACAGGTACACAAAGATTCATTAAATTATTCTCTCCAGGGATCCCTGGGTGGCGCAGCGGTTTGGCGCCTGCCTTTGGCTCAGGGCGCGATCCTGGAGACCCGGGATCGAATCCCACGTCGGGCTCCCGGTGCATGGAGCCTGCTTCTCCCTCTGCCTGTGTCTCTGCCTCTCTCTCTCTCTCTCTCTGTGACTATCATAAATAAATAAAAGTTAAAAAAAAATTAAAAAAAAAATTATTCTCTCCACCTCCGTGTATGTTTATGTTTGAAAAAGTTCTGCAATAAGAAGTTATGGGGAAAAAGGCTGTGACTTTTAAATAAATGGTATACTAATTTAAAATTACATGATTACAAGCCAGCTATTCACACACTATGCTTGGAGAGGGGTTACTATAGTTGTGAAGAGCTGAAATCTGTGAGACCTGAAGGGACCAGGCCATATCAGAGAGCCTTGCAATTGAGGCCAAGGAGAAAGAGCTTTACATGAAGGCAACAGAACCCAATTAGGTTCTCTCGTGATGTACCACCTCATCCCCAAAGTTAAGGTCAGAAAGACTAATCACTAGTGTGATTAGTGCCTCCACGTACGAGGTTCCCTGCCCCACATTCACTGTGGGCATATCAGCATCAGAGATCAAGAGATTTAGATACATGTCAAGGCAATTTGACCTTCAGGTCTTGGACAAAGCTAAACAAGGAGAAATTTACCTTTGGGAATGTGTCTCTGTATCCCTTAATTCCCAGGCCTGTATTTCAATCATGTTGGTCTAATGTCCCTAAAATAACCCAGTCCAGGCCCCTTCCTCCTCAAAGGTCCAAAATTTTTTTGCCTTCATCAATATTCCTATTCCCTATTAACCAACATACCCCAAACAGAAATCTATTAGCACATATCCACTACAATACAGCTCTTCTGTATTATCTCTAGCTGCCAAGATATCTATGTCCAACTACATGTTCTTAAACTACACAGCTCCTAGAGCAGATTTTGATCCCTCATCCCAGCTCTTCTGCACCAGATGTCAATATGCCTACCTGCCCTTACACCCTCACTCTTTTGAAGAATCATTGCTATAAAGATAGAGAAATCTAAAAGAGAGAGAGAGAGAGAGAGAAATCTGATTAACAAATGAAAGGAATTGTTCCCTACACTTTTCTATTATAGGTAATGCTATCTTATTTATATGTACTTATTTATATACATTTTCTTCCTACATAGATTTTTTTCTAACTTTAAAGATTTTATTTATTTATTTGACAGAGAGAGACAGCACAAGTAGGCAGAGCAGCAGGCAGAGGGAGAAGCAGATCCCCCGCTGAGCAGACATGGGACTCCATCCCAGGACCCCAGATCATGACCTGAGACAAAGGCAGATACTCAACTGACTGAGCACCTCCCCCCACCCCACCCCGGTGCCCCTCTAACTTTTCTTCTTCAAGATAGATTCCAAGAAGAGGAATAGTCGCCACAAAAGATGAAAACACTGAAGACTCCTCCAGAAATGGTACACTGATTCACATTCCTACTAATAACACATGAGCACTTCTGCTTCCCCACTTCATTTACTGGTGCCCTTAACATTTTTTTTTATTCTATGCCAACCGTGGAGCTGAAAAATGTCAGTTCACTGTTTAATGAAACATAAATTCCTGCTCTCAGGCAAATAAGTCACACTCTGAAAAAAGTCTCTGTGATACTTCATGGAGCTCAAATTACAAGGAATTAATTTCAAGCAATTAAATGACTCTACCTCACAATGTATGCAGAACCACTAGCTGCCACTAGGTGGTGGTGAGTTCGTGTGGAGTCTATTGACCTGTGTGACCAATTGAGTCTCAGTCGGAACAGTAGCAGATAACCTGTACTGAGTACTTAGTGTGGGTTAGACGTTATAGGAAGGGCTTAATATGCACCATATCACTTAATCCTCCCAAAAATAGCCCCTGAGACCACCATTTGTTACACACAGTATTTTCTGTTAAAAAAAAAAAACTTTATTAAAGTACCGGAAGAAATTATACAACTGCTCTCAAAAGCAAATACTCAGAATTACCAACACCTGGGGACCATTAATAGCCTATTAACTAAACTGTTATTTAATCACTAGCTAAGTAAATCCAGAGTTACCAATTTACTTTGCTTAATTTTGTAGAACAGCAGGCCTCCCTGGGCCATGTGGTTGCATTCTGCAGGGCTGTAAAGGAATTCTGGTATGAGTCAATGTACCCCTAGAGGTCCCCTATGGATTCCCATCAGCCTCATGAGGGAAGCTGTTCATTCCCACTAACCAATTCCATTTCCCAGATCAGAAAAGTGAGGTTCAGTCACCTGCCTGTGGCCACACAAAAAGTAAGTGGCAGAACCAGGATTCAAACCCAGATCCAATGCCCTCACTGTTCTCCATCTTTCAGACCTGGTGACTACTTGGGTCCCTGCTCAAATTACATGTCAACGAGCAATCTAAGGGTCAGCAGGGAAAGTTCCCAGGGCAGAGCTACTCCTCGGGAGGAGCTGTTCCTGCTTCTGTCCATCTCCTTTTGGTGGCTCTTCGTCCCCCATCCCCCCATCACCTGGGCCTTCATGTCTCAAAGCTAAGGCCCACAGCCACCCCACCCCAAGGTGAACCACTCTCACTCTAACCAGAGCTCTGAAATAATTTCTGCTGTTGATCTGATGAGAATGAATCCGTAGAGACAGGGAGCTTTAAAATGGTCCACGCCTCAGGGGAACACTGACACTCTGCTTGAGCACCTGACAGTCCTAAGAAAACAAATACTTCTCAAAGTAAGATATCTCCAGGCAAAGCTTGTTAAAAGGAACTTCGAGGACAGAAAGCATATTCTAGCTTAAAACTACTCAGCGAGGTCCATAACTGGTTACAGATGATAACAGAATAAGCCTTTCCGGCTGCATCAGCTTTTATATATATATATATATATATATATATATATATATATATATATATATATATATATTTAATTTATTTATTTATGATAGAGAGAGAGAGAGAGAGAGAGGCAGAGACATAGGCAGAGGGAGAAGCAGGCTCCATGCACCGGGAGCCCGATATGGGATTCGATTCCGGGTCTCCAGGATTGCACCCTGAGCCAAAGGCAGGCGCCAAACCGCTGCGCCATCCAGGGATCCCTGCATCAGCTTTTATTAGCGAAAAGACAGGCCTTGCCCATCCCTCAACACTCTGCTCAATACAGATCATCATTTTGTTTTCTTTTTTTTAAGATTTTTAATTTTATTTACTCATGAGAGACCGAGAGAGAGAGAGAGAGAGAGAGAGAGAGAGAGAGAGACATAAGCAGAGGGAGAAGCAGGCTCCTTGCAGGAAGCCTGAAGCAGGACTTGATGCCAGGACCCGGGGATCACGACCTGAGCCGAAGGCAGATGCTCAACCACTGAGCCACTCAGATGCCCAATACAGATCATTTTTTGGCATTCTGCAAGATGATACAGCTCCTGGTCCTTATGCATGGTTGTACTTCAACTGGCAGCCCAAGGGACCCTCAAAACAGTGCACCTTCATTAAACATTTAATGAGTGAATACATTTTGATATAGGCATAAAACTGACCATCAGGCACACAATGAGTGTCACACATGAAACTGTACATCAAAAGCTGCATTAAAGTAAAAATGGTCAGGGCACCTGGGTGGCTCAGTGGTTTAGTGTCTGCCTTTGGCTCAGGTCATGAACCCAGGGTCGTAGGTCCAGTCCTTGAGCCAGCTTCTCTCCCTGTGCCTGTGTCTCTGCCTCTCTCTGTGTCTCTCATGAATAAATAAATAAAATCTTTTAAAATATAAATTTTTTTTAAATTTTAAAATTAAAAAAAAATAAAGTAAAAATCGTCCAAAAAATGGCAAACAAAAACTCCCCTTGTGCCAGGCGAAGACTCGCAGACAGGACTAAATAAAAGAGCATGAATCGAATACCAAACAAGAACAGAGGAAACGGCACAATTCCCCAAACACTAACACTGACTAAAGCACCAGAAGATTGTAATAAGTACATTTAATATGACTTTAAAACAAAGACTCATCTGTTATGGGCTGAATGCTTATACACCCCCAAAATTCTTTTTTTTTTTTTTAGATTCTATTTATTTATTCATGAGAGAGAGAGAGAGAGAGAGAGAGAGGCAGGCAGAGACACAGGCAGAGGGAGAAGCAGGCTCCATGCAGGGAGCCCATTGTGGGACTCAATCCCGGGTCTCTAGGATCAGGCCCTGGACTAAAGGCGGAGCTAAACCACTGAGCCACCTGGGCTGCCCTACCCCCAAAACTCTTAGGTGGAAGTCCTGCCCCCAGGATGACTGTACCTAGAGACTAAGTAATTAAAGTTAAGGAAGATGATAAAGGTGGGGCCCTGATTCAAGGGGATTTACTGTCCTTATAAGAGACATGAGAGACAACATTCCCTTTCCCTCCGTCCCTCCCTCCTTCCTCCCCTCTCCCAGGCTTCCTATCTTCCCCAGGGCTCACAAAGAGGTCACATGAGCACACTGGGCACCAGCAGCCCACAAGCCCAGAGAAGCAGCTTCACTCGGAAGGAAACTTACCTCATTGGCACCACCTTGATCGTGGACTCCCCAGCCTCCGGAACTGTGAGGAATACGTTTCTGATGTTCAGGCCACCTCGTCTGCCGTATTTTATTATGACAGTCCAAGCTAACACACCATCTAATGACATTTCAAGTCCCCCAAGGGTCAATCTAAGTCCTAAAATTTGAGCAAAGACTAGAGAAACTTGGCCAGATTTTACTTCTATTGCCTTTCATGGAAAAGGGAAGGGAGCTCTTTGAAGTCAATACTCAGAATAGGAAGCGTGACTGGAGATTGGTAGTGCTGAGATCTGGGACAGGCGTCAGGACCTTTTAAACTTTAATGAATGACTGCTCGTGAAGTGAAGTGAAGCAAGACACTGAGTGCATAAAACCTGGCCTCGAATCCTGACTTCAGCCCTCACTGAGCTGTGTGACTTCGACCACGTCAGTTCATCTCCAGCGTTTCATCTGTAACACAGGGCTAAAACCCCCGACTCTACCTCATTCCATCTGCACAACCACTCTGCAACGAGTATAATGAAGCAGCACAGACTAAAGCTTCAATAAATCTCGGTTCTTTCCCCTCCCCCCCACCTGGCCCATATTAAACTGCTTCCAAAAATAGAAGAGTGGGCTATATACAAGACACTCAGATACTTACTGGTTCTCTTACTGCATAGACATAGGATTCAACAAATGTGTCCTGAACACCTGCCAAAGGCTCTGTAGTATCCTAAACTGTGTGGGAGGCACAAAAGCAAGCCAGACCCTCTGGCCTAGAAAGCGAGTCGGCCTGCACAAAATGATAACAAAAAGAGAAGCACACAGAAACAGATACTATGAAGGAGGACAAAGCCCCTTGGGCAGTCAGAGGAGAGAAGAGGTTCATTTGCATTCTCATGAACAAGAGGCTATCTGAGCTAGATCTTTAAGAAAGTAGAGGATATGAACACAGAGAGTTGAAGGAGACCATTCAAATAGATAATCAATAAGGCCCTACACTCTGAGTGGTGGTGATGATGCTAATGGAAAGGAGAAGGTGCGCACCAGAGACTTCAAAGCGAGAAATCTGTGTGCGTGTCTCTACACTAGGGTGGGGGGATCAAGAGGAAGCAGTGGACCCAGGAGCATCCACTCTCACTCTGTGCAGGCAGAGAGAGGGGGTATTCCTTAAGATCGAGGAGGTCACAATCCAACGAAGACCTAACCCAGTATAGGATATTGCAGGGCAGGCTGGTGACAAGGCAGGGTGACAAGCACAGTGACAGAAATGTGCTCAGGGACACTACTCCGGGATTGGGAGGATCTCGATTAAGAACCTTAATTCCTATTAGAATAGACTGGAATTAGAATTAGCACAGCAGCAAAGGTGTTAGGTTTTTTGGTAACTAAATGGAAATGAGACCGCCAAGGCAAGCGAGGGTCCAAGAACAGATTTTATTGCAGGCGCCCTCGGGCGAGGTTCCACGACTCACGGAGGGGAAGAGTGAGTGACTCACGGAGGGGAAGAGTGAGTCGGGGAAGTCGCGCCAAGACAAGGTGGCAGGGGGTTTACATAACGTTGTAAGGCTGAACGGTTTCCTATTGGTCGGCTCATATGCAAAGGAAGGATTGCAATCCAACCAGTCAGAGTGACCCTTACTATGCAAAGGAAGGATTGCAGTTCGGCCAGTCAAAGGTGACTTCCTCCTCTGGGGTTTGAAGGGCATTGGGTCTGGTTGGGTAAGTTCAAAGGAGAGGTCTAAGGGTCTGCGTCAAGCTGTCAGCAGGTCATTGGTCCATTGGCGTCCCAGGTGGAGGTGGTGACAGGAACCTCAGCCATTTGGGGTATCCGCCATCTTGAGGAGTTTCTCTTCCCGCCTGGCCCCAACAAAAGGAAGACCACGATTTGGGAAAGAAAGAAAGAATGCACGGCGGTGTATGAGTGAGCGCAAGGAAACGTGGCACCCATTCCCCGAAGGCGGGCCTGGCAACACGTTATGGGTGATTATTTGTTCTGAAGAGATGAAAGATTATTTCTTATTCTGGCCTGTTGACTGTTCCCTGACTCAGCATCCCCAAAACAACCTTGTTCTCAAGGCAACGCTGATCCTAGCATGGTGAAAGTCCAATCCTCCCACAGATGAGGAAACTGGGGCTCAGAGCAAAATCAGGGGCTCCCTGGGATTCCAGCAACAAAGGAGGACCTAAAAGCAAAGCTTCCTCATTTGCTTTCAACATCTCCCCTTTGGGATCCTCTCACAGTCAAGATGCCCTCTTGTGAGGTGTCCTCAAGCCCTCCCCACTATCCCGGCTGGGAACCCCAAGGGCCCTGCTCTCAACTCTGATGTTAAATCTCTGACATTAGGCAAGTCCCCTTCCCTCCGTGACTGTCGATTTCTCATCTCTAAATTATAAAGCTAAAGTGGGTGTTCTCTAAAGCCCCATCCAGCACGGGGAATTCGTAGAACTCTGCGGCTGTGATGGTTTTTCTGCAACCTAATTTCCACAGATCTCTGCCAAATACGCAGAGATGGTATCTTCTGATAATTTATGAAGCTGGTGGCCCTACTGGCCAATGAAAGAGAACGCTGCAACAGAATAAAGGGATCTCAGCACTTTAGACCATGTAAGGCCCACACACAGCTTTAACCTATAGGTTAGTTTCAGGTGAAATGTCTAAAGCAGGTGATCACATCTCATCATTACTGCAGCCCCAGCAAATTGAAGAGGCCCTGGTACACAGAAGGCACTTGATAAATATTTGTGGAATATATGTTGAAACTAACCTGCTTGCCATTTGCATTTTTTACTAATTATATCTAGTTGTTCTGAAGAAACCTCCCCCCTTGTAAGTAGGGCCAGCCCTAATCCAGAGGCAGCCCATCCAGGCGTCTTCCTGAAATTTTAGCAACTAAAAGCATTCTGTTTACAATAAGAAAACCATTCCCCCCACACACACACCCTGACTGGAATGTCCCTGAATAGGTTCATGTTGACCCTCCCCGAAATCAACCTGGATGCCATGCGACTCCCGCATTTCTTTTGTCTTTAGGCAGTTTCTTTCCTTTTGCCTTTTAAAAGATCCCTGTAATTGCTAATCGGGGCTCTTTTCCTCCTCGGAGGCGGAGAGCCCGTTTGCGCAAACGTTCAACAAACCCTCTTGCTAATTGCATCTGCCTGTCTGGGGTCTGGGTCTCTGGGGCGTCCACCGGGCCATGTTGGCACCCGTGAGCCAGGGTCCAACAGTTCTATCTAAAACTTCTCCTTTGACCAAGATTTTATAACAGAAATGGTTTCCTGGCTTCTTCTTGTAAATGCTATTGTATTGTTGGCCAAAAAATTTTAAAATATTTTATTTATTTGATAGAGCGAGAGAGTGAGCTGGAGGGGGACAGAGAGAGAGAGACAGAGAGAGAGAGAGAGAATCTGGAGAGCAGACTGCACTGAGCACAAAGCCCGACTCTGGGCTCGATCCCACAACCTCAAGATCATGACCTGAGCTAAAACCAAGAGTCAGAGGCCTAACAACTGAGCCACCCAGGCACCCCCATATACCAAATTCTTAAGAGCCACACTATGACAATGACGGCTTCATGATTTCACTTTATCCAGAGGGAAGAGTTATCGGACATTACTGTGCCTGTGCCCACCTTACTGTATACCTGCCCTCGCAAGTTCAAACCTGACCAGCCAGGATGGCCACTCACCTGTGCCCTCTCCATCATCTCTCCTTCCCTCAGAGGGCTTTGCAGTCTTAAACCTTGAGATGAACTTGAACTTCCTCCAATGCTCTCCCTCCTCTCTCCCTTCACCACCCACCCCAGGCGGCCTTGTAACTTGGAAGTGTTTATTTTTACCATCTGTGTCTGAGTGTGACTGTGACCAGAACCAGCCTTGTGTTTAAGGCAAGAGCTCTCACCTCCTGTCCTTCCACCCTCACGCTTTCCTCTATAGACCAGATGAAGGTTCTTAAAAGTTCCCACGCTTCTTCCCTTCCCCCATGGCTCCATCCTAAACCATCTCCCCACCCCAAGCTCCCCAAAAATTCCCTTGGAATCATTTTCATTAAAGTATTCTCTATAGAAAGTACTTTCATAATAAAGTTCCCTCTCCAGCCCACTTCTTGCCTGTAAGCCCTCCTCCCCTCCCACTGCTGCAGAACAACCTGGGGTGCTCCCTCCGATCTCTGGGCCAGGGGTCCCAAGTATTTACTTCTTCTGCAGTGCTCAGAATTACTCTGAACCGCAATCTATCTGTATTCTCAAGTGCTGCCACTGTCTGAGGGTGAATTCCTGAGGCTGGGAACTACGTTTTATTTGTATTTTTAGCACACAGCAGATTTTCAGTGTTTGTTCAAAAGATAGCAAGGGTGTCAGGGAGATCCTCTCTCCCGGCCCCGTTCTCTCTCCTCAGCAGCACACACATCCCCACTTGTCCACCAGCAACCATGTCCAACTGCCCATAGTGGGCACCTCAGAGATCTCCAATTCTTTTTTTTTTTTTTTTTTTTGAGATTTACTTATTCATTTGAGAGAGAGTAGGGAAGGAGCAGCAGAGGGAGAGAATTTCAGACTCCTGCTGAGCGCAGAGCCCAAGGGGGAGCGCTCAATCCCACAACCCTGAGATCATGACCTGAGCCACCAAGAGTTGGCTGCTTAACCGACTGAGCCACCCAGGTGCCCCAAAATCTCCAACTCTTCACTTGCCAAAAGCAAACAAATTATTCCCATTTCCAAACCTCCTGATTTCTGATGATTTCTGAAAACTCAGAAATTAACTGGGCTCAAAAGCAGAAAACTCAGCAGGCACTTCCATCACAAGTAACCAATCACTAAGACCTCCTACTTTTTACCTCAGTATTTATTACTCCTTCTCTCATCCTTAATTGCCTTATATTTCTGATATCAGGCCCTGGTATCCCAAAATGATCTCCCAACTTCCAGCTTCTCTTTCACACAGCTACCAGAGGGTTCTTCCTAAAACATAGTGATCATGTCCCTGTCCTGTGTGTAATCCTCTTAGATCTCCCTCATCCTCAATAATATAGTTCAAACTCGGCCATAGCATTCAAGGCCTTTCCAGATCGGTGCCCCCTCCACCCCATCCCAAATCCTCTTTCCATATATTTTTCACC